GCAGCCCCAAACCATGATGCTCCTTCCGCCATGTTTTTACAGTGGGGATGAGGTTTTGATGTTGGTGTGCTGTGCCTTTTTTTTCTCCACACATAGAACTGTGTGTTTTTCCCCAAACAACTCAATTTTGGTTTCATCTGCCGACAGTATATTTTGCCAGTAGTGCTGTAGAACATCCAGGTGCTCTTTTGCAAACTTCAGACGTGCTGCAATATATATATTTTTTTGGACAGCAATGGCTTCCTCCGTGGGGTCCTCCCATGTACTCCATTCTTGTTTAATGTTTTCCTTATTGTAGATGTGTCTACAATGGAGGGAGGGAGGGGTATACATTAGGCTAGACAAGAATTTGGTGGTAAACTAGAACTATTTTGACACACAAAAAAATTGTACTCCGATGTCTCACTGATTGAGGAATGATGAAATGTTTGTTTTAAAAGAAAATAAAACTTTTGGAAAAAAAATAGAATAAAAAATGATAATAATAACAACAACAAAAATTCGAACACTTGGGACCTTCTACCATATGTGGTGGGAGTGCACGAAATCTAGGGCTTTTTGGCACCAGATAAGAAAGTAATTGGAAGAGATGCTAAATCAAAGGGTGGAGTTGAGGCCAGAATTATTTCTACTAGGGATTACAAAAGAAAAACATGGCAAAGGTGGACTATATTTAATGCTTCATATTTTAACGGCGGCAAGACTGGTTTTTGCAGAAATGGAGAAATAAGGAGACTCCCTCGGAACAAGAAATAATAAATAAGATACTGACGTGGGCAGAGATGGACAGACTGACAAGAGCTCAAAGACAAGAGTGAGACGGAATATCACGAAATCTGGGACAAATGGTACCGATGGTTAGAAATGAGGGGAAAAGGCTGGGACAGAAAAACACAGACAAATTAAGAATTGGAAATTAGGGTATTAAGAATGTGTGGTAGGTAGAAATTGGATATTTATTTGTATGATTAGTGATTATATAAAAGAAAGGAACAATGGATAGATAATCTGACTGACTACACACACCTTTGTAATGGATATACGCAAAATGTAACTGTTATAAGATCTAATTACTATATGGAAATGTTTATGCCAGAAATGTTGCACTATATCCAATGTTTTTAATGTTTATCTAATAAAAAACTTTATAATAAAAATTCAGACACTTGGCTACTGGTTCGTATTTATGATGGTTGCAGTGTCTCGGGTTACGAGATCTCCTTTTGCGACCTTCTCACAAGCAAAGTCAATGAGGAATCCAGATTTGCTTAACAACAGTATTGCTAACTTAACAACTGCAGTGATTCGCTTAAGAACTGTGGCAAGACAGGGAAAAACTTAATGTCTCGCTTAGCAACAGAAATTTTGGGCTCCGTTGCAGTCATACGTTGAGGATTACCAAAACAATTCAGGAAGTCTCGCCTTCAATTTGTTTATTACTTGTTAACTTTATTTGCCACCCATCTCCCTGTGGGGCTACTATGGATGGCTTACAACACTAAAACAGTGGGGGGAATTATTTAAGAAATGTAAACATAGCAATAGCAAAGGAATAAACAATAAATAATGGAAGTGGAATTGAAAAGGTGGGTGGAGGGGGAACAGGAAACACAAAGGGGAGATGGGGGTCAGTAATTAGGCCAGCAACTATTTCCAGTGATGTGCTGGTGGTGGGGAAGGATATTCCACAGGGCAGGAGTAACACAGAGATTAAACAGATTAACAGATTTAGAAGGGACCTTGTAGGTCATCTAGTCCAAGCCTCCTATCCAAGCAGGAGATCCTAAATCATTTCTGACAGATGGCAGTCCAGTCTCTTCCTGAAAGCCTCCAGTGATGAAGCTCCTCCACTTCACCAAAGACTTATTACAGCATCGATAAACCAAGATCATGGAGAATGGCCAGTGGAATGCCCCCTCCCACACACGCACATTTCAAACAGGGGTTGGACAAGTTCCATGTTGAAGGCTCTCCTCCTGGATCCCAATAGTTGGAGATTCCTTGATGACAGGATCCACAGCAGGCCTGGTTCTGGGAACCACTTTTGTATGTTGCAAACCATGAAATGTGAACTTGATGTGATGGGCTGTGCAAGAGCAGAGTGGGGGACACTTGGCAACCCACAACTCTCCCAGTTGGAGGCCCGGATTAAGATACTGCTCAGTCCTGAGCTGGATGGGAGAAGATAGGAAGAAGTTTCAGGTGACCACCCCCTAGAACAGGGGTAACAAACACAAGGCGCGTGGCCTGGATGCGGCCCATAGGGCACTTAGATCTGACCAGCAGGGCCAACCAAGAAACAGTGAAGGACCAGCCCATGGTGCCTCTGCCAGCAAAAACGGAGTTCGGGAGGGCCGTTCCCAGCCCTCCCAAGCTCATTTTTCCCTGGCAGAGGGTGGTAGAAGGCCATTGTAGCTGGTGAAGCTCTCAGGCCACCACAAGTGCCCCCGACACGAGTGATGTTGTATCCATGTCTACCCTGGCCATACCCACCCTGGCTCCCGGAAGTCAAACACAACCCTAATGTGACCCTCAGTGAAATTGAGTTTGACATCCCTGCCCTAGAATCTCTTGGGATACATCTAGTCCTTTAAGAGGGTAATAGCTTTCATTTGGCAAGATTCTGTCCAATAGCTGTAAGCAATTAAAAGATTAGATTCGGTTGGATCTAGCCGTCTCGTCTCTGGGCCTGACATTTAGTCTTGTTTATCCTCGCACAATATCCCAATGCTGTTGCATGCTTGAAGTTACTGCAGTTTTGCTGCTAATGGTATTCCTGCACCGGGGTGTCATTGTTGATGTAGCTTTTCAGAGACCAGATGGTACCCCTGGTTCTTAAGGAGAAAGCGCTGGGACGATTTTATCATTCCGATACAACAGAATCTCTCAACTCCAGCAGTCTGAATTGTGCTTTGGATTTTTTGGTCTGATGACATGGAGGGAGGCAGCAAAATATTCGCAGCGTTCACCCTGTTCTCTTGTGGTGGGCTTGGAAAGAGCTATTCTAGAGCCTGTGAAGTCGACTAATAGAAGAAAGATGAACGAAGCGAGACTTTTTTTGCTTTTATTAGACAGTGATGAGATGAAAATGCATCGTTTAGTCAACCTTCAGATTTTATTGAATGCTTCAATAGTTTTAACACAAGACATACAAAACAATATAAATTAAATCCATGTTCATGTTCGAACTAATCCCATCTTTACTTACATAACATCTGTGCTTCAAACCGTTACGTAAAAGGAATATTCAAGTCTTCAAACATTACCATGTTTTAGGGAGAGGCGGGGAAAAATCAAAATGTCTGGGCCATAAATCAAAGTCAACAACTTTAGCCCCGGTTACTATTCCCTCGCTTTGGTTTTGTTCAACAAAACAGTAGCTGCGTTTAGCATCTAACTAAGGAAACAGAGCTGCAGAAGTGTGCAGTTCCTTGTTTTATAGTCGGACAACCTCAAGCCAAGTGAGGCCACTTGAGACTGAAAGAGAGCCCTCCGCCACGATAGCAGTGACATATTTTGGTGTGTAAATACTTGGTTTTAGATGGTCAAGTGATGTCCCTGTGTTGGACTTGGAATCAAATCAGAGAGTACGGCCAAGATACCTTGCAAAGTTCCTCCTGAGAAATACATGTTTGTAGGTTAACATTGCCATTTTCTTCCTCATAACTCATAGGAGGACACCCCCTGCTCAATTCAACACATGGTGGCCAGCTTTTGTGGTCATAGATACTCTTTGCTTTGGTGGGCAATGAGGGCAGACGTCCACCATTACTTAAGTTACTCTTAGGAAGTGGAAAGAAAGGGAATCCCAGAATGGCTACACAGATACTCTGAAATTCACAGAAACTGGTGACTGCATAATGGGAGTATGCAAATATTAATTTAATTAAGTATCTGTCAAGTGCTGGGACAATAGTGGAACCTACGACAGTTCTGACCCAGCTAAATAATGGATGGAGAGAACAGCAGGAAAACTTTAACTACTCAACCAGGGCCTTAGATTAATACAAAGATACTGCCCACTGTAATCATTTAAATCAGGGGTCTCCAACCTTGGCCACTTTTAAGACTTGTGGACTTCAACTCCCAGAATTCCTCAGCTGAGGAATTCTGGGAGTTGAAGTCCACAAGTCTTAAAGTGGCCAAGGTTGGAGACCCCTGATTTTAAAGTACATGAGGTACTCCCGATTTACAAAATGACACGTGCCAGATTTTGAAATTGTCAGTCTTATCTTACTACTTTTCTACTCTTAAGTATGAACAAAAGGCAAATAAAGAAAATCCTGCTTGGAAAATTAAAAAAGAAAAAAACCAACAGTAACGTCGTCAATATTGCTCCTCTTAAGTTAAAAGTTAACCATCACATCCGACGGTTTAAGCAGGAGAAATCCACAGTGTAAACGTCTCAGAGTTTAGAACAATGTGAGGAAATAAGTTTCAAAAAACACAGTCTCAAAATGAACCAAGGTGGGATTAATTTTTAGATGAGGTGATCCAGACTATCTTATGCTACAAATTCATAGAACGGCTATTTTTTTTAATAAGTGCAAATACAATTATAATGAAAATGAAAAGTTATTTCAAAGTTGCCCATTGGTCAGGTTAGGAGCAACAAATTAGTTAAGACTTCAAGAGGCCAAATTCTCTGTACCAGGGGTCTCCAACCTTGGCAACTTTAAGACTTGTGGACTTCAACTTCCAGAATTCATCAGCCAGCAACCTGGGGAAAGGAATTCTGGGAGTTGAAGTCCACAAATCTTAAAGTTGCCAAGGTTGGAGACCCCTGCTCTATATGGTTTTCTCTCGATAGGGGAAGTGTCCCATCAAGGAAGCCGTTGCTGAAGATTGGAATGGCACAGCTACAGAAGTCATCAAAGCTACTTCTACAGAGAGCTACTCATTTGTGCTCCTGTATGTTTGTTCCCATATCACCGCTTCTGTTGCCTCATTTCCAGGTGCACCAGCCATATAATACTGAGGATTTGGGCCTGTAAACTTGATGATTCTTTTAATGGATAAAGCCTTGCTCCATTAACAAAGGCATCTGTAAACTTAGGGACTGGCTGCTTCTATCTGGCATTCCCGGTTGCATTTTACTGAGGTTTGTTTTAAACAGCCAACAAAATGTCTGCTTCGAAGAAGACTAATTTGTACGTTTGCTATTGAGGAAAGATTTGGGTAAACACTGAAAGCGCGTTGCTGTGAACGTGGCGAAGGAAAATAATTTTAATTTTTCCGGCTAGGCCAAACCAGAGGTAGAATATTGTTGCATTCAAAATGCAACAAACTGTGCATTTTATTACACACACACACACACACCGTGGCTGCAACCGTAAAAACTTGCCACCTCAACAGCTTCTGCATTTCGATTTTTTTTTTTAAAAAATCACCTCATGTTACATTTCAATATTTTGGGAGATGATCTCCCTGCCTAATTCCTTTATGCAATGGACTTATGCAAATGAAAGACCAGTGTGCGTGAAAATCATTTTAGAAAAAGAATTTGGTTTCAACGCCTTCTCTGGAACATTCTGGAATTTGTGGGAAAGAAGGCAATCTATACTCTTCAAGGATTTGGTTTCACTTCACCTTGAAATGACACCAAAGTAGATGTGAATACTGTATTAGTGGGGCAATATTAAATATTGCTAGAAATATTTACAATGTTCTAGGGTGAAAATACTTTTTAAGGTAGAGATTAATAATACTTTATGTGCTCTTAACATTATTTCAGTATATTTTTTGGTAAGATTTCTTGAAATTCGAAGTGAAGCCCTGTATTTTTACACCTACCAGTATTCATCTCTTTTCAGCACAGAGCACAAAAAATAAAGAATGCATTCACGGTCTCTAACCTGCCAATTCACAGCTCTAGAAACAGTTCTCCGTGTGTGAGACTGGAATTTAGCTATCAGAAGAAAGCACTGCAAAAAGGTTGCAACTGGGCTATGTTGTCTCATCGGAGTTCCACCAGAAAATTCAGTGTTGGTTAGTGAAAAGTATTCAAGCCAAAGGACAGACAGACTATTTCGGGTCAGTGAAACTCACTGCCCCCTATGAAGTTACTAAGACTATATAACTGACTTGACCACAACTTTCAAAACTGTCAAGTTTAAAAATCTAAATTAGAAATGGATTATAAATCATCCACATGCACATCCAGCTGCGGACAACTTCGAACAGTGACATACTAATTTGCACAATGGGAATGACCAAACCTTGCATTCCAGGTTTAAAATAGTCTTCTTTTAATACACAATTTTTAGGCCATTGGGACGCTCAGCTTTAAACTGAGTGGACAGTTTAAAAGATCAAGAACAGATCTGAATAAGTTTTCTGAAAGGTAGGCATCAGAGAGAGAGAAAAATAAGGAGGTTTTCCAGGAGCCCCAAGTGCGAAGTGTTTCGCTTGTTTTCTTACTTTCGGCCATTGGTCCATTCATCAAAAAGTGTCAGTGACTGAAACCACCAAACTTCCATTGCTTAACCTCTAACCAAGAAGCATTTCAAAAGTTTCTTAAGTAGCTGATTAAATTTGAACTTCTTCAGTGTCGCGTATTTTTGAAGGCTATTAGTGAAGGGAAGGGAAATGGGCTTCTATCCAAAACCAGAGTTTGGTGCATCACCCATGTCCCTCAAGCAAAACTTCCTGCCTTTATTCGACGTGATCTTATTACTCGCCTCCCAATTTAACAGGATTACTATTCCCCTAACATCAATGTGTAAAAAGCATGCATGGATTTAAATAAGTGTTTTAATACTGCACTTTTGAAAGAGTTGTGGCACAAAATCTCAACCCACCTCATTTTTCATATATTTCTTACCAGTTTGATGAAATGTAAACACTCAGGCCCTCCGGAGGACATTAATTTGTTTATCTTAAGTCAGTCAAGCCTGTTCAGAGTTTTAGCATCGTTCACCAGAAATGCTAAGTTTGCCCCTTTTGATTAATACAGCGTATATATTTTTCATACTTTTAAGGCTTTGGAAAACTTATGTCCCTGGGTGAATGTTCCCCAACTTTTTTATTTGCTAAAATAAATATTGAGAGCCAATTACTGAACGGCTGTGACCTTTTTGTCAGTATTAGTATCTGTCCGAGATACGACGTACGTGCTTGCACATCACATTTAAGCATTACATAGTTCAGCACGAATGCACTCTACCAGAGCCCTACCTGCACGCATTATTGCTTTCCACAAGCAATCTGAGCAAGACAGTTCCATTGCTCGCTCGCTTGCCATTTTTCATGTTGAAACATATTGTTCAACTGCAGGATGTTACGCGGCTTTTAAAATTGCTACTATTATTTCCATCCAGACTGTAAATCTTGCCTTCGAACCATATGCCTACCATTCAAAATGGCTTTAATAAGTCATGAGCAGAATCCACACCGAAGTCAAAGGCCATCTAGAGGGTGCAAACCAGAAACTCAATACTCAAAACTACTTATGGTTATCCATGATGTGCAAACAGACCCCAGAGCATGCTCAGGTAGTACCTGGATCTGAAGTTATTCCTGCAGCCAAGATCAATTTAAGATCCTCCCCACAAGAAAGCTGTAAGTTTTGCTGAACCGGCCGTTTCACCTCACCACATCCATGCAGAACTTTGTTATAGCTTAACAACTTTGCCTGAACATTGTTGATGTTTTAAAGAAAAATATGTCTCCTCTGAACCTTGTAAGCCAGGAGAGGATGAACAAGGCCAGAGGAGAGGCTATGGGTGAAAACAACCCTTCCTGCCCAGCGTTTCTTGAAGGAGGTTTAATTGTAAGTGCTTCATACAGATGTGAATTAAGCTGGATGTTCTTTAGCCGATTAACCTTTTCAATAGGGTTGGCTTTGAAAAGGGCCAGCAATATTCATTTGGGACTGTACCGTTGACATTGCATTCAAAAAAGGAGAACATGGGAAACCAGATTCTGGCTCTCCGGCTTTGTTGATAGGCTCTTGTATTTGCCAGTGTGTGATAGTACAGGAAGAGTCTTGTAGTGATGTAAAAGGCAATGAAGACATCGATGGAGTAGTGTTCGTGAGCAGCCAAAATGAAGAAGATCCCAAACAGATTCAGCACCCAAGACAACGTATGCAAAAAGTTCCAGCTTCTTGGGGTATCTGAAAGGAACACAGTAGTCAACCACCTGTAACTTGGGAACTTTTCATAAATTGGGTTCTAGACATGTTCTGGACAAGACAGTGAACTAAAAGCAAGCAGGGAGGCTTGGGGCAAGTACCAGAAACTCTTCTGTCATAAAAGATTAGTGTATTTTTCGGAGTATAAGATGCACCTTCCCTCCAAAAAAAGAGAGTGAACATCTAGGTGCGTCTTATACACTGAATACAGTATTTTTGGTCTCCCGAAACCCCAGCCCATTCACAAAAATGGAGATGCAGAGGGTTTGGGAAGCCTGCAAAGTGCTCCTGGGGGCTGGGGAGGGCAAAACTGGTGATTTTTTTTATCGTTTTTGCTCCCCACCCAGCAGCATTCTACAAGCTTCCTAAAGGCTATACATGCCCTTTTTTGGCAAAAAGGGCCGGGTTTCATGAGAAATGGGTCGTTTTTTGCTTGTTTTTGCTCTCCCCAGCCCCCAGGAGCACTTTGCAGGCCTCTCAAACTCTCTGCATGCCATGTTTTTCACCAAAAATGAGGCATGCAGAGGGCTTGGGAGGTCTGCAGAGAGCAAAAACATTTTTTTAAAAAAATTTATCACTTCAAAATCTTGGTGCGTCTTATATTCTGGTGCATCTTATACTCTGAAAAATATGGCGTGTATATATATATTTTAAATTACTGGAACTTATCTTAGCAGAAATAACAGCAAGGGGAAGAGCAACAGAGATCCCAGTGGTTTGAAATGCCTAATAATAATAATATGCTGCCCAACGGTCATGGACTCTGGCCTTGTAACAATTTGTCTCCTGAAAATAACTAGTTCTGCACTATATTTATCTTCCATTCTCTCATTTTGCCCTTTAGACTGTTAAGTCTGAGGACTGAAAATCTGCTTGCCTGTAGTTTATAATTTAATTTCAAAAACATCAAAATAGTTAGCTCTACACAGGCCTAACTCCTTTTTCATGATTTGTGTATTAATGTCTTATAAGCAAGGGACTGGTTAAACACCGAATTAGTATGCAGATCAGGAATGCTGGGGTCACTAAAATGTTTCAAAATTATAATTAAATCTAAAACACAATGACACACATTACAGGAACATGCAGCATTTCAATCATGATTTAAATCACTGGTAGAAAGGCTTGATTTAAATCAACTCGATTTAAATCATAGTTTTTAAAGAGCAACTGTCATCTCTATCCTGCAGCAGCTCCTCCTCTGACCCGCTGTTGACTCACCGACCATCCCATTCACTTTAATGGGATGGGTGGTGATGCAGCAGTGACACACAAGGTGAGGGATGTGGCAGGTGGCAGGCAGCAGGTGAGTAGATGTCCTCTTAACAGGCGCTGCCATGATGGATCTGAAATGATAGGTGCTCTTTAATATTATATTTATAAGCTGCTTAGGTGGTTTCACTTTCATTTTTACTGCTTGCCCTTCCTCCTCACACGTAGAGTCTGGTGGTACAGATGCATTTCTCTTCAAACCATCATATAGTTTGCAGTGCACATAGATTTGCAAAACAAGGGGATGAAGGAATATTCCTGAATTTTGTTTTATCATTTATCTCATGGTTATGGGAAATTGTGTGAATGCATCAATGCAGTGAATGTTCTCTCAGCTTGTAGAGCTTGGGTTTAGCAAAAATGTAAATATTGCAGAATATACAGCCTCATATCTTTAGATAGATTTTTACTCCAAAAGAATTTTATTAAAATAAATTTGATTTAAAAAATCTGATTTAAATTTTAAACATCTGATTTAAATTAAAAAATCTGATATTTTTTAAAAAAACAATCATTAATTTTACCCTGGCAGCATTCAATAGTTCTGGCCCAGAGGGAGGCCCATATTAAAACAACACACTTCATGTGTGGCCAGAATTTGAAAAAGACATTTACCGACTGACATCAGCATATGTGGGCCTGATGGGGTAGATTGTAGGGATGATACAGAAATATAATTTTATGTTGTAATTGTGTATTAAATTGCATTTTATCCATAATTGTTGTATTTTACCCTATTCTTATTTTAAATTGTTTTTATAGGATTTTATTGGTAATGCATGTTTGAACATTTTGATATGGCCTATAGTTGTGATGGTGAACCTATGGCATTCTTGCTGGAAGTGGCACACAGAGCCTTCTCTCCAGGCACGCGAGCTGTTGCCCGTTGTTCTTCCGTGCGGGAGCACCGGAAGAGCAGCTGCCCCGGTGTGCATGTGTGGGCCGGGAAAATGATCTTCCGATTTCTGGCATGCACATGCGCACTGGCCAGCTAGTCTTCATGCACTCATGTGCACCAGAAACCAGACGACCAGCTGGCCGGTGTGCATGCACACATCACATACCGGAAGATCATCTTCACAGCTTGTGCATGTGCACTGGGCGGCTGCTCTTCTGGTTTCCAGCATGTGTGTGCGCAGATATGCACACATGCTCCAGTTTCGGCACTCATTGCCAAAAGGTTCTCCAACACTGGCCTATAGGCTAATCAACAAAGCTAATCTAATCAATAGTTCTTCTCCAATTACGTTCATCCCAAATGGGGGGTTAACCACAAATACGAAAGTTCCTTCCTGGATTTTCTGGTTCCTCCAATGGAAACCTCTTTTTTTCCTTGCCCCATGGACCAAAAGATTTATGTCACAATTAGGCAACCAAGAGGGCTGGGTTCCAGAAGCTGCCACGCTACAACTCCCAGCAGCTCCGTCCAACAGGATTTCTCGGTGGGAGTTGAAGTTGAGCAACATTTTTAGCGTCTCTGTGTGATCAGCTGAGCAAGCAATGTTGCACCACACCAGAAAGGAGGAACAGAAGTTGTGACAAGCTAGATGGACAATATTTTTTCTCTATTCCCCCCCTCCCCCCAGATCTCTACTTACATTCAGTAACAAAAAAGTTCAGCATAGTCAGGACAACAGTATGGCCACTGAACATATAGTCTCCACAGGTGTGTACTCCTGTTAACGTCATGCCAAATCCAGTCCAAATAGCAAAGGCTCGCTGAAGTTTTGCCCACACATTGCCATATAACTAGAATTAGAAGCATGCACAACATTGAAAAGGAACACATTGAGAACACGTGAGACTTTAGATAAAGGAGGCCATCACCCCCCCCCCCACTATGGAGTAAATACGGTATCTTCTCTTCCACAGGAGACGCAACCAAGCATTTACCTCTTAAAAATCATTGGCAGGCTTCCTTCCTGAATGAACGCTCTATCATGCCAAACCATACTTTATGTACAGGTAGTCCTCGACTTACAGCAGTTCATTTAGTAACCATTTGAAGTTATGATGACGCTGAAAAAAAATGACTTATGACTGTTTTTCCCCACAACCCTGATCAAAATTCAGACACTTGGCAACTGACTAATTTATGACAGTTGCAGTGTCCCTCTGCGTGTGTGTGTGTGTGTGTGTGTGTGAGTGAGTGTGTGTGACGTGATCATTTTTAGTGACTTTCTGACAAGCAAAGTCTATCGGGAAGCGAGAACCAGTTTACATCCGTGTTATTAAATTAACAGCTGCAGGGATTCACTTACCAATGGTGGCAAGGAAGTTCATAAAATGGGGCAAAACTCACGTAACAGCTGTCTTGCATAGCAACAGAAATTTTGGGCTCAATTGCTGTCGTAGGTCGAGGACTACCTGTGTTTGGGGTTCAGGTCAGGGGTGGGTTCTGGCAGGCGCTACTGCCGGTTTGTTTGTGGGTGCTATGCGCATGCGCTTGATGTGCACCTGCACAGTGCAATAAAAATTGTTCTGCACATGCACAGAAGCAAAAAACAAGATGGTGTTGCCTACGGAGAACCGGTTCAGTGGCATGGCAGACGTAGCTCATTGCCGGTTCCAGCGACCCATGCCACCAAACCACTACCAGTTCAGCTGAACCTGTCCAAACTGGCAGGCACCCACCACTGGTTCAACTATTGGCATAAGCTACAATGACACTTCCATAATTTCCATAATTTCAATTGCTCTTCCTCATTTGCATAAATGAATTTTATACTTTATTGGTATGTCCCATTTTAAAAGAGTTCAAAGTCCCCAAATGAACATTACACGGGCACGATACACCTGTCAATATTTCAATTATCATTCTGATGTTTTACAATACTTTGCCAATACGCAAAAGCTTCCTTTCTGTGCCATTAAACATAATAGTTCATCATTATCTCTCTTCAAAATAAAGGTAAAGGTTCCCCTCACACATATGTGCTACTTGTTCCCAACTCTAGGGGGTGGTGCTCATCTCCGTTTTGAAGCCGAAGAGCCAGCACTGTCCAAAGTCGTCTCTGAGGTCATGTGGCCAGCATGACTAAACACCAAAGGCGCATGGAAACCTGTTACCTTCCCACCGAAGGTGGTCCCTATTTTTCTACTTGCATTTTTACATGCTTTCGAACTGCTAGGTTGGCAAAAGCTGGGACAAATAACAGGAGCTCACTTTGTTATGCGGGGCTAGGGATTCAAACTGCCAAACTGACGACCTTTCTGATTGACAAACTCAGCGTCATAGCCACTGAGCCACTGGTTATTATTATGTTATTAAACATAATAGTTCATCGTTATCTTTCTTCAAGATACTAGGACTGAATCTGTGGCTAACTCGAATCTGATATATCTACAAAAAATTCTAAGCTAGTGACCTCAAAGGTCTTTGTCCAAGATCTTGTAGACTCATTGACTTACCTTTCCAGAACACTGCAAATGTTGTCCCGGCACTGACAGTGAGGTCACAAACATTGTTACACAACGTAACAAGAACACAGTTCCCATCAGGCTGCATAGTCGTCGCAAAAGGATAGATCTGGGAACAAAAGTTGCTTTCAACAATTATGAAGCTTCAGGAATGACAATTTTTCCTCCCTGACTTCCTCATCTCTTGTTCTGGAGGGATCTGCTCTAGATCTGCTTTGTGAAGAATGCAGTGGCTGTGTAGGGGTATTGGGCAGAGGTGGGCTGCACATACTTTAACAACCGGTTTGCCGAAAATGTGAGTGCACACATCAAATCAGCTGGGCTTCCCGAGGGGGGGGGGGTGAGCCAGAAAGTGAGATATCTAGCCCTGGATAGTGTCAGGGTAGGTGGGCGGTCGGTCTTCGGAACTACTGGTTCAGGCAAACCGATCCGAACCAGCAGCAGCCCACCAATGTTCCCTCTAATTTTTTTTCAGTGTGAGCAGAAAAGTATAGTATTTGAGCAGCATATTTTCATG